GTCCTGGGTATTTAAATTGTCTAATTTACTTTATCGTATCAGTTAAAATGGTGAAACTTTGGGAGTAAAGTGCAAATAATCCATTGCCTCATGATGCATTCTATTATGACTAAAAGTATCAAAGCTCTAGCCTTTTTTATAAATATATACAGAATAGCTAATTAGTTCTATGTTCTTTGTTGCAGATATTGATCCACCAATGAGAAAGCTCCTTGAGAATAACGATCAAATATTCAAGAAAGTGCATGTAAACCTGAGTAACTTACAGGTAAAGCAGGCCAGAAATATAATTCACAAGTCACCACTATGCTATAAATATGAAGCATCATCGTTATCGTCTATACGAACAACTATGCTTTATGGGTCCGAGTGTTGGGCAATTAAAAAACATGTTCAAAAAATGAGTGTAGCAGAAATGAGAATGTTGTGATGGTCTTGTGGGTATGGCAATTAAAAAACATGTTCAAAAAATGAGTGTAGCAGAAATGAGAATGTTGTGATGGTCTTGTGGGTATACATTAAAAGAAAAAAATGAGTGTAGCAGAAATGAGAATGTTGTGATGGTCTTGTGGGTATACATTAAAAGATAGGATAAAAAATGAGTGCATCCGTAGTAAATTAGAGGTTGCTCCTATTGAGGATAATATGAGAGATAATAGATTAAGATAGTTTGGTCATGTACAACGGAGACACATTAGTGCACCGATTAGGAAAAGCGATAATATTAGAGTTAACGGGGTTAGGAGATCTAGAGGTAGACCTAGAATGACTTGGTTAAAAGCAATTAAGAAGAATATGATTAGGACTAATATAACGGAGGAGATGACCCATAACAGAATGAAATGGAAAAATAGGATTTATGTAGCCGACCCCAAACATTTGGAATAAGGGCTTGGTTGTTGTTGTTGTTGTTTTGTAGTACCGTTATCGTCTACACGCTTTCTTGCACAAAAGATGAGTTAGGCTAATGTACCAACACTCATAGTTGAGAAAGTTCCATCATAAAATTGCTCAAGTTTTACCTGACACCAACCTGAGTCAATTGGTATCAAATTCCTTATGGAAGCAACTCTAATCAATAGGCCTTCAAATTGTAAAACCTTAATGGTTAGTTTTCTTTAGAAACCAATCTTTCTTGATAGGCAGTTCCGGAATGTAACTAAGGATCATATCTATAATATACTATGAAAGAATTTAGACGAAGAGATTGACAGGTTCTGCTACAGAAGATTGCAGTAATCTTCAAGCTTGAAGCCAATAGAGCTGAAGAAGCATTGTACAAGTGAAGCGATTCGGGAGGGGGGAGTGGGGGACTAATTACTGTAGCTTTCTAAGCAAAAATGCTTGATACGCTTTTGTGTAAAAGGTTATCTGTATGCATGTGCATCATTGACTATGTATCCATGTGATCATGGGACACATTTTTTAGCATATTCCTACTTGCCACTGTGCATGGGGTTTACACTATGCTGATTCTTGTTTTCTTGCAGGTACAGGAAAACATTCAACTGTTATGCCAAGCGCGGGACAACTTGAATAGCGTCATGATCAAGTATGTTGTAACATTTCTGTTTTCCTCCAAAAAAATAGCATACTAGAATCTAGAGGTGAATAAGTGGCATGAAAGTTCTATTGAGAGATTGTTATTTGTTGCTTCATGCCTATTTGTTTAACTTGAAAAGTTTTGTTTGGGTCCCTCATTGCCCCTTACAACTTGATAACACTACATCCCTTTTTATCCCAACTTCTTTAATTAAGTCTATATCAAATATTTACATTTTTATAAGCACTGTAATTTTATAATTGAACATCTTAAATGAATAAAAAAATTCTTAGAAAAAACTTTTGGCTAAGTTCTATAAGCAAATCAATGCTAGAACGCCCTTAAAACCTGTGGGGTCAGCACATGCTGGCATGGGTTCAGTAAAATTTTGAACTTTCCATCAAAATTTCTGTGCATTTACACATGGCATTTGGTAAGCATAGGCATTGAGCTTATGCAATTTTCTTTATGGAGCTGTAAAACTAACACCTCCGCAAGCTTGATCCATACAGCAATGGAACCATGCATAAATACCTGCTGCATTTAATTTCTTATATGTGCTCGTGTATGAATGTACATGTTGAAATCTATACATACCACAATTCTCAATAGTAATATTGTTCAAATGAGAGGTTCACACATTGTTTTTCCACATCGTCTCATGCACCTGATATACATAGTATGCACTTTGATTCCTAAATACCTACAAAATCCTGCACTATGCACCTTGTTAGGTCTAATGTACTTTAACAAAAACTATTTTTCTCACAGTTATTTCCTGTTCAGAGGATCTAATATAACCATCTAATGCTAACTTCTTTCTGCAGAGTGTATGCCACCCCCGAAATGGCAATGCAAATGCCACCATTTCCAGCAAAGATAAACATAGAGCTCACGAACTCTATCCTCCCAAGTAGGATAAATACAAACCTCAAATGAGATGCTGGACTTGTCAAAAGGATTTGGGTTCTCTCATCAGGTTGAAGAACAAAATCATACATCGGCATTATCCAAAACCCTTGTTCATTTTCGGATCAGTAGGTAGGAGAAGTCCCCTTTTTACCTCTATCAGTCGGTTTGTAATCTTCATTCAGCTTAGCTCATACTTTAGTTGTACAAACTCGTGCAGTGTGGGCTTATGTAGATATATAGTTCTTGTAGATATAAGATAGGGCTAGACAGTTTTGTAAGATACAGGATGTTACATTAACTTGTCCAAAAGAAAATAATCTGCCTGCCTACACACTGTATATTCCTTAGTTTCTGGTTGCTGAATCAAAAGCTGTAAATACAGTTAGATTACTCAACTTGTTATCCTCTCAACTATTTGTGTTTCTGTTATTTTTTCGTAAGGCAACGTATTGTTCTGTTAACATGCCCTGTGTTGTGTGTATAGGTTTATCTTGTACCTAACTAACTCATAGATGGGTAAAAACTACCATGAAGACAGGGTTTCGAACAAAGCTGCCATATTAAAGATGCTATCATAAACTTTAGAATATATAGAAGAATATCATAAACTATTCGAAATTGTTGGTAATCAGGTTGTCATTTTGGATGAAAGATCTAAGCTACCTCGAAGAGGGAGACGAGGAAGAAGCGGAGAGGGAAATATAGAAGATACGTACGAAAGAAGATACGTACGAAACACGCGAGGACAGAATGTGCACAAAATTGTCTAAAACATGTCAAGTGTGGAGCAATTGACAACTTACTCGAAATCTAAATACCGTCAAATATGGCAGTATAATGAAAAAGTGGATAGTGTTGTGCAGAAATTCATGGTAATTTGTGAAATTTACCCATTAATATTATTCAACACTGTGTTCCAAATTCACCCAACTGAACGTATGGTCTGTGTTTTATGTGCAATTGGGAGCAGCAAAGAGATATGAAACATAAATAATGGCAAAAGGATCTCTTTCTCTGATTTCTCTACAGGCAGCTGGGATACAGTGCACAAGTATCCTTCAATATCTTAGGATTGGAAAATTTTTAGTTAAATGTGAAAACAAAAGGGGGGGTTTGCATTTAAGATAAGATCTTTGGCCTAACAAGCTTTGACTTATTTTTCATTTGGGAGTTGTCTTTTGACATAATTTTTGGTTCTTGAAAATATTTTGGAGCGTGATGCATTCGTGTCTGGTTTATTCTAGCCACAGCTAGCATCTTGGATGTTGTTTTTTTACTTCCCCCCACTTTATTATCTTCTTTCTCTATACTTAAACATGACTTGCTATAGGGACCTCAATATTCATCAAATGTCAAATGTCCCTCAAAACTTTCATTAATTATATCAGATATGAAGGTGGCGTCCAAGGCTCAACTTCACCAAATCAAACAGCACAAGTTCATCCAAAGGTGTAAATGTCTGCAACAGTTTGTAGGCTCAATAACAACTATAATTTAACAGCACAAGTTCATCCAAAGTTGTTTGACTAGCAAAAGTTTATAACGCCTATAATTACAACAAACTGAGAAATTTTAAGCCTGAACTAAGTGACTACTACTTCAGTTGTGGAGATTGCAATCGCATGCAACTCATGCTTGGATTGTAATTACAATTACAACGATGTCAAACAAACCCTTGATAAAAAAATTGGTCGACTTGAAGATCAGATTACAGTCTTTTTTTTTAAAATAATAACAACAGCTACGTTTAAAAAAAAATCTAGGTATAAAACAGTCTGATTACCTCACTTCTGTTTCGTGACAAAAGTAAACGCTAATCAAACAAACGTATCTGACCCAAATTCAGATTCACAGAGTAATAATTCGGACGTGCAAACATCAGCGACAACAGCAGCCAAATAAGAACAAAAAAAAATTAAAGCACACTGTTGTTATTTGTCAAAGGTAGACCGTTGTGCATATTTTGTAGGGAATTTTTTGGTTAAATATCAGAAAACCCTCATAACTTTGGACGATGATCAAGTAACCTCCCATAACTTCCAAAATACTAGAACCCCGAATCCCAAACCCCCCTCTCAGAAAAAAAATAAAATAAATAATAAATTAAAAAAACTAAAGTTAAGGGGCTATAGAAAAAACCCTTAACTTTAAGATTTTATTAAAAAAAACCCTTCTAACAATGTTACCCATAATTTTTCACTTTGATGGATAAAACTATGCATGAAGATGTTTTTTTCGGTGAAAATTCTAGTTGACAAACTTTAAGGAGGTTTTCTGATAAAATTTACTCGTTAAATGTTAAAGAGAGTTTTATGGTAACCCCTAAATTTAAGGCTGTTTTTATGGTATTTCGGAAGATATGAGAGGCTTTGGGTTAATCCACTAAAGTTAATTAAGAGGCGCAATCTATCAACTGACATATGTGGACCCCAAGGACGGAAATCAATTTCAATGGGCTGGTCAAAAAAGTTTGGCCCATGTCTTTTTGTGTTTCTTCATCTCTGCCGGATTCTTTTCCTACAAGACGGCGACTTTTATGATCCAACAGACGGCTTGCATTTTTCTTTTGAAATTTTTAGAAAGATACAAAAAGACATGGTTCAACTTTCAATGGTTTCCCCCTTCTTGGATATTTTCATATATGTCCTCAGAAAAAAGTTCCATATTTCTATAAAGCCCACTTGCCGAACTAGTCATTAAAGTAGTATTTCTAGTCATAAGTGTGTTTATGTTGTATGATGAACAAAACTTTTAGACTATCCTTCGTAGCTCATGGCTATGTTAGTATGTTACGTAGGCAAGAGTTCCTTTATTCAAAAGTTTCAATGAGAGATGACTATAAAACCGAAAAAAAATTACAAATATAATTTTCAATTCTCCCATCCAAGTTCTGAACTGAAACAAAAACCAAACGTAAATGTAAAAATCAAAAGCTTTTCCGAGTTGAATGTAAAAGTCAGAATCAGTCTTTTATCATTCTTTTTCTCCCTCTCTCTCTCTTCAACTAACTTTCACTAAAGCCTTAAAGAGCCAAAAGCGAAGAGTTTTCATGCTGTTTTTATTCTCTTTTCATACATTGAGCATAGCAATGTAAAAGGAATTTTGATGAATACTATAAAGTTTCTCCACGCACTCAGTAATCTCCTTTAGCTTCTGCTTTCCATTCTTGGGATCAGAGCTTTCTCATTTGCTTAGCAAAGAGGATTTTGTCCCAGTTCGATCCATTCCCCACTTTGCAAGAAAACCCATTTGCAACTTTTAAAAGGCCTTTAATGTATAATTAATGCATAAAAAGAGGGGGCTTTCTTCGAAAGATTTTTTGTTATATGATGTATAAATGTAGACATGGCTATGTTCATGTAATCTAGAGGATGTATGTGCTCTAACTTAGATACGGATGTTGTGTTTGAAAATCTTTAGCTTCTAGAGAGCTGACTGATGAATTTTGGAACTTGGGTTGTTTTTATTTTGGAGAATTTTCGAGGGTTAAAAACAAATCTCTCTATTTAGTTTTACATGATGAGATTACATTTTTGGTGGAAGCTGCTGATTCAGAGCTTTTTCTTTTGAGGTAGCAAGAGTTTAGTGACTCCTGGTATGTTTCATTTCTCTACGGTATCTTATGTTTCTCCTTATTTTTTTTTTCTTTCTATTTAAATGGTTACATAGAGAATAGAGCAAATTAGTCATGATCATTTTTTTCGGGGGTAAATATCACCAAACATTTTGTTGCTTGTGCCACTAGTAGTTGATTCCAGTTTCTTAACAATTTGATGTTCTCAGGGTTAAACTTCCAAAAGTTTATCGAAACTTTTGATTTGTTCTTCATTAATATGGGGGGAAACATATCCCTCATTCTAAGATATTGTTAACTTTGAAAGTAGAGAACATCCCTAACTCTATAAGATTTCAAATTAATCTAGAGATTTGATGCAGAGGGAGGGTGTTTAGATGATATCAGAGCAGCGAATGTCAAATATTTATCTCTCTGCATTTTCAATTGGATTAATATAATATTTTTTTGTCACATAAAACTAAGGAGTTTTAGAAGATAAATAAGATTGCCCTAGCCTTCACCACAACTTCGGAGTTTTAGGATTTTGAAAACTTAAACTATTTGATAATGCCAAGCTAGCATTTGTCACTCATGATCTCAATTTCTCAAAATGTCGCATTACTCTAGTCCTATCCTTGCATTAGGTAAGATCCTGTCCCAGTTGTTCAATACAACCTGCAACCTGTCGACAATGAAGCAATCTAGTCAAACAATAGAAAAATTTTCAGTTTTCGGCTCAGAGTTATCACAAATTTATTTTAATCCCCCGCAGCCTTTAGCAAATTGTAGTGGTCAACTCTCTAGTAAACTCTTGCATATACATTTTGCTAGTGGCTAACTACTCCTTCGTGTCATGCCGATAGAGATACTGCACATGTTGTTCATGGCTCTTTACTAAGTTGGTGCAAAATTTTCTACCTCAATGTAAATAATAATAAATTATTATTATAATAACAACAAATAACTAAAATTAGGAGGTAAGCGATGTATTGTTAGCTACTATATAATGGTTCTAATCTGTTTCTTTCTTACATTGAAATAACAGACAATGAAAATGAGTTTAAAGTTCAGTAAGGCGTTGTGGCTTCTGTGCATATTGGTGGCGGTTTCCAGTTTTACCCTCAGGGAAGTTGAAGCTCTCAATGTTCATGACAGAAAAACAAAGTTTATTACTAAAAAAGGTGAGAAAAGAATGTTTATAATTAAGTTGGAGAGATTTTTCTCTTCTAGAAAAATTATTAAGCTTGTGAAATTTTATTCTGATCTATGCAATTAAAGAGACAATGGTGGCAATTTTTCGAAGCGATCTCAAAATAGTTATGATTATTAGTTGTATCTACTGTTCTTTATTTGTATCTGTTGTTCCTTGGGTAGTATATTTCAACTTGTTGGTTGATTCTCTAATTATATTTATTTTCTTGTACTTCCCTTTGACAGATAGGATTCTAGTTGAAGCACAAAATAATACAATATCCGCTTTAACAATTAGAACAGAGAGAGTTGATCCTTTGGATGATTTGAAGAAGTATAAAGGAGGCTATAATGTTACAAACAAACATTACTGGAGTGTAAGTACAACTTCCCTCCCTTTTCAAACTTGAGCAAATTAATTATATTAAATGAAACATAACTCTTATTATTTTCCTCTAATTATCTTTTCATTTTTCAGTCTACAATGTTTACGGGAAAATTTGGGTACATGATTGCGGCTATGTGGATCATTGCTGGCCTAACTTATGCTGTAATTCTACTCATTTCAACTATTTTTTGTAACAGAAAGAGGAAAATAGAGAAGAAAACATTTCCTTGCGTTAGGAAATACTCTATTTGGCCCGCTGTACTTGGAATTATTTTCACAATATTAGCTTTGTAAGCATGATTCCTCTGACCAAACAATTCACGAATTGCAACCATTTCTTCGCATAAATACTAAGCATTTAAATGTATTTATAGAGTTGCGTCTGGAGTAGCTCTTGGTGGTAGCACTAGATTCAACTCAAGAGCCAGATCAATCAAGAATATCATTGTTGAAGCTGCTAATAACGCTTCATCGACGATATATAGTGTTACAAAATCTGTTGAGGCGATGCAAAGTGATTCACAGGTATTTGCAAGCTTAAGTGGGTCCAACGCACTAAATTCTACATTACAGAGGCTTGACAGAGAGGCTGAAAATATACAGAAAAAGGCCGGAGGGGCTACGCATCAGCTCAATAAAGGTCTTGAAATTATGTAAGAATGAAGTCGCATAATTACTGAAATATATCATTCAATATATGGATTCAAGAAAACTGACACATTGATGTGTTTTTTTAAGGACTGTGCTGACTATAGTCACGGTTTCATTAAACCTGGTTGCTCTTCTTGCTTTATTAGGTGATTAGAACTATACTAAATCTGACAGTTCACCATCAGTTAATATTTACCATTTTTTCAAAATTTTCCCTCATTCTCTTGTTTTTGGCTATTGCAGCATCAGGGCCTTTGCTGAGGTTCTGCAGAATTTTTCATATGTAAGTTAAGCATCAAATTTAACTCTGAAAGTATTCATATCATCAATAACTTATTCTAAATTTTGTACTCTTGCAGGCTTATTATTCTTTGCTGGGTATTGACAGTCCTCTTTTGGTTATACTTTGGGTTGTACTATTTTCTAAACAAGTAAGCCACTGGCCTCATCGTTATTGAAATCTAGGACAAATTTTATAAAATCCCTCTAAAATTTGTATAGCATGGAGAACCATTTGGACTTTGAAAATCACACTAAACCTCCTGAATTACTAGAATTCTCCTAAATGCCTCTTAGCGGGTAGAGTAAAACGTCTAGACTGAGAAGGGGTAAAAAAAGTAATATTTAGTAGACAGGGATAAAACTGTCCAAACCGCCATAGTCACGGTACTTAATGGACGAATTCATGGTTGTTTTGTACTGATTTATAAAGCGGAAGGGTTTTTGAAATTTATCCTAAAACCTGTCATTCTCTCACTAAATTACCGATACAGTAATTCATCCTTCTTTCAGATTTGCTGGTGATACATGTGCAGCTCTTGATGAGTTTCAACAAAATCCCCTAAACAGCACTCTAAGCTCAATTCTTCCATGTAATGATCAGTCTTCAGCAAAAACAATTTTACATGGTGTTGGTGCAGAAATTCACAATGTAATCGATCAGGTAACGAACATTGCGCACAAATTCTAAGAAAATCTTCTGTAGAGTATGCACATAAGATAAACAATATATAACTAATCGATTCAAATTGCAAAATTTTGTAGGTAAATGCAAATATATCGAGTCTACAATCATTGTCACTTCCCGGTATGAAATATATCTGCAATCCATTCTCAGGACCACCTGATTACAGTTATCAACCAGAGAATTGCTCTTCTAATACTATTCGAATAGGAAATATACCTCAAGTAAGCTTATACAATGCTTATTCCTTCCAAACCATAGTACATTTATGACTTGCATGATTCATATTGTCTTTCTAAAGGTATTGAAGATATACACATGTTCAAGTGAAGCCTGTAAACAAGGAGAATTCATATCAGCTACCGATTACAGCAAAGCCGAGGTTTATTCCAATTCGATTCAGAACATAATTAATGCTTATCCTAATATGGAGAGTTTGGTAGATTGCCAGTTAGTAAAGGATGCATTCTCGAAAATATTGATCAAGGAATGCAAACCATTGAAGAAGCACGCGCACATGACATGTGCAGCATTTGCGACTCTGTCGACCACTATGGTGATACTTCTACTAGTATGGATTGCAGAAGCTCATCGTGAGAGTAGATATCGATACTTTGGTGGGTCGATTAAGCCACATTCGACTCCAATAGAGATTTCAGACGTCAAGATAATGGATATGGACTCTAGAAGTTTTGAATTGAGAGAAGGATCCTTTTGATATCACAGTCCTCTCTTTTACTTTGTTTCTCTCTTTGTTTCTTGATATGTTGGCTGGAGAATCCAACCACATGTGTATGTTATAGCATGAGAAGATGAAGATCTTCCATTTTAAGTGTAAATAGAAAACTTTCCAAGATTCAGATGAGTAAGAATGATAATCACTTTCTCAGAAGTAAACATATCCTTGCCACTGTACCAAAACTTCAAATTATGATGATTATAGCTAGTAGATTTCCTTGTCATGCTCTCATAACCCCCCAACCCCCCCAAATTCATAAATACATTATATAATTTCAAATTGGGTTAATCGCACCTAAGCGCTGTTTTGGACTTACCATCCATGTAATTTCATGTTTTTGGCAAATAGACCCTTTTAGTGAAATTTTTTTGACCCTTTAATTCTCAGATAAGATAGCCTCACTCTCACTCATTTCATGCAACGGCAATATCCGCCAAACAGCCAAACATTCACCGAGAATTTTTTGTATACAAGATACTCTTTAAACCATGCATATTTGCAAAACATTCACCGAAAAAATCTTGGCTATCGCAAAGCCGTCCCCCCAAATCATCAACTTTAGAAAAGTACTCTAAATCAACAAACTAGTCAATTCTTTTACTCACCTTATCCGACAAACTTAACGTCTTACGGTCTTAGTATTATTTCAAAGTTGATGATTTGGGTCAATTTTGGAAGAAAAAAAAAATACAAGATCAACAAACACGATTTAAGGGGTATACAGAAAAAAATACCGAAGCAAACAGTCATTTGTCGAAAAATTCTCAAATATTACTTATTCACAGGGGGATACATGCAAAATAAACCCCAAATCTAAATTGTAAACCGGGCAGCCGAGTCCTGATCATCAGCAGACGGTCGAAAATGGCAGAGCAACCGGCGACCTTCGCCCCTCCGTCACCTGGAATCTCGCCGGTGAATCTCTCCGACTGCATCGAAGACCTCCTCCACTTCACCCTTTCCACTTATTTACAAGTACCGCCACTCCTCGATCTAGGGTTTTCAAAAGACTACTGCTCTCGCCTCCTCCAGCTCGACGAAGCTGATCCCATCTCCAGTGCCAACAGAGATTGCGGAGGAGTTCCAGCTTATCCTTTGTACAAACCCTTGGCGCGAGCTGTAGAACGCTCGATAAAGTCCGGATCTTTGGGCCGAGAACGCCGGTCGATTGATTTGATTCCGGTCGATGAGTCGGTGAAGGCGAGGGAGAAAGAGTGGAATGAGCTGATTGCGGATAAGGGATCAGAGATTTTGAATGTGAGTTAAAGAAGTAATATATTTCTGTTCAGTTGTTGTCTAGGGTTTTTATATTGTTTGGCTCCTTGAATTGTGTGCAGATGTTGGAGGGTGTTGATTTTGAGTTGCATGTTCAAGAACCCTACTTTTCGCAGCTCAGGGGTAAAGCATGAATATATGGTCCAATTGTTGGAAGTTGTTTTAAGTGATGTTTTGGGTATTAAGGTATTGTTTGTGAATAGATGGTAGAAAAACAGTTGAAGGGAGGTGCGGTGGCAATTATAGCCGGTAAGATTTTGTAATCCATGGATTTTTCTACTTTTATAGCTTCTTTTTTGTGTTAGCTATGGAGATTCACATGTCTGATCTCAAATCAAGATGAGATTAAACCCGCTAGCACGCAAGACAGTTAAACAAATAAGAAGTGAACATAAGAGTTTTACGCTGTTTAATCAACCAAGCTTGGCCTACGTCCACTCGACGCTCTGTTCTTAAAAGCGGGGCATCCTGCTAGGCGGAGACGGTACCTAGGCCATTCAACTTAGGCTTGGATGCTTCTAATTAATCTCTTCGCTTCTAGAACTGTTTTCTTGGAGTCCCAATCACTGTCAGATCTGTCTTCGATGTCAATAGATTTGCAAGTTAATTTAATATTAGTTCGCGTTTGTTTACGATAGTATAAATTTGAAATATGAAGATTTGGAGGCCTAATATACAATTAAGAAAGAGTTTAGTGTCTAATATGACAAAGTCCCTAAAATTTTGTGAGTATTCTTCTATCTTCAATTCTTTTTACATTTGCAACACTATCTTTTAATGTGATATCTCTATGTATTTCTAGTTTGAGATTAATGGGTATCATTGTCAAGGAGGGGATTTCCCTCCTTGACAATGATGTGGCACAATCCCCATGGTAGGGATTTCTCTCCCCTAATTTATTCCCACCATGGGAATTGTGCCACATCATTGTCAAGGAGAAATCCCCTCGTTGACAATGATACACATTAATCTATTCTAGTTTTCTACCACTTTATCTTCCTCACTTTTCATTCATAGCAAAGTTTATATCTACTATCATCAACTTTCTAGATTTTCACCTATTCATTCAGTTTGTTGCAGGTATTAATCTTTCTTCTAGTCATGATACCTATTAACTCCATCATCTTTCCTGTAATTCAAGTGGCCAATCTCTGCATAGTCTCATGTATAAGTTTTTCACCTTATTTCACCTAGTTGACAATTTATTTGAGAAATGTTGATAACACATCCTTGCTTACTTGTTATTACACCAACGTTAGGGAAAGCCCTTGAAAACTTCCCTTGCCTATTTAGCATTTTGTCTTGGTTGCATCAATGCAATTTGTATTGATGGGAATGCTCCAATGAACATTCTTTAGAATTCATAGCAGGTAGATCCGACTAGGTTTACACTAATTTTTAGCTAACTAACCCAACCCTCCTTTATCCATGCTTGGAGTCAACAGTGAAAAGACAAACATTATAGCAAATTAAAAAATTTCTTTTAGAGAATTGACTGAAACAACTTTCACTACAGGTTTTAAGTCGTAACAAAACAATTAAGTTCATAATTTCATGGAAATACATAAATTAGCAGGCAATTCAATCATAAATGGGTTTTTTTAGCATGGCATGTATTAGAAGCTTATATTCTGTCCTGTTTTATTTTAACTAGGATTACACCAGGTGCTGTACTTCTCTTCAACAAATGCCTCTTGTTCCAAGTTCAGGTGACACAACCCTATCTAACACTATATGTAAATATCTATCTGCATATTTGTAATTTACTATCTTCAGTATGTGGGCCAAGAGTCTGCAGTATGTATATCTTCTCCTCTCTCCCTCCCTCTGTACCTGCATGCATGGATGTTCTCTCAAACTAAAACCACCAGCCACCAGTAAACACACACGTATGCACGCGCACACCCACCACACTAGCACGCACGTGCGCCTGCGCACACGCACACATGCACACATACTTTTGGCCCAAGTATGTGAGGATTAAGCTGAGGGCAGTTCGTTGATTTGGGTGAATCAGGTCTGCTCTGCCTGAGAAAAGAAAGGAAAGAAGTGTAGGAGGATATTCTATACACATAGGGGTTGTGAATGGTAATTCAGGTCAAGGGGTTTAACCCTGAATCTGTCTGATTAATAAATGTGCAACTTGGGTGACCAATATATGATCCATATTCGTTATAATCAACCTGTCTTTTGGATCAGATATTGGTTCTCACCCCTATTACTATGAGACAATCACAAACAAGACATCCAAGCTTATAAAGTTGTAATTTTTAACTTTGTAATGGTACACATGTCATGTACCAAAATTAAAATCATGTAGCTAACCTATGAAAGTACTATGTGGAGCATTAATATTCATGATACTGTTTTTAAAATGAGTAAAATGGCTTTACAATTCATAAAGGGATACACTGCTTCACTAGAACAACACTGGGAATGCGGTTATTGGGGGGAAAGCTCTCATCGTTCATATTGGATAGTGGGTTTTTCTCAATGCATGGCTCAAGAAATTGAGTGAGGATTAAGGTATTCATTCATTTCACGGCTTTCATTAATATCTCCTTTTGATAGTAAATATCACGTCGATTGCTCTCCCTCATCATGCAAGTATGTTGTCATTCCTGAGATTAGAAATTTCTGCATATGAATTGACAATGCTAAAAACATTTGGTTTTATTTTATGTGAATTCCTTTATTAGATGCTATCTTTTTTGTAGCATGTTAATCGGTACAGTTCATTCTATGAGATGCTGAAAGTTGAGGGCCTATCTGACATCCTTCCTGGAGTTGAAACAGTTGAAGAAGGTAATGGACTTCCATTTTTCTTTCAGGTGCAATTGTTACTTTTTGTTTGGAACAAATGGATTTGTTGTGTTCTGAGAATAACGTTATGAAATTTGAATTTGAGCAGATAATCTACACCACCCATAGGTCTTCACTCTCTTGTACCCCAAAAAGTTTGAGCCTACTGTGAATGTGGATAAGTTGTCTAGGTCATTAACCCTGCAATGCTACTTCTCCCAGAAATTTGGTTCCAGTATCCATCAATAATCAGATGCAAATATATTATATTGAAGTTAACAGTTGCTGTCATTTGATTAATATATTGTACTGGCCTACTGGGCTGTTTCTTCTCATGACTGCCAAATCAAACTAGTGTTTGCACGTATGCTGGATGAAATGTATGGTTCTTTCGGTTTCTTGCAGATTGAACTCTGTGCAGCTCCAACTTAAAAGGGATCCATAATATGGTGTTGGTCCTGTGCTTTTCAATTCCCCATGTATAGCTGGAAATACTTTGCAGTCCGAAAGCAAAAAGCTATACAATATCAAAGATATAAAACAATATTATTTAAAAAAGGTTAAAATACGGTAGGAATGACCTTAAATGGTTATTTGACATAGTTGAAAAATTATGCAATTCAAACAAGTGTTACAATTCCAACCATCTTATACTTCCAACTAAATCCAATAAGTCACACGGATGCAACACATTGGATACTGGTGAATTATTTTATTTTCTAGCAATTAAAAGTTTTAACTTCATGATTCATAGATCACTATTAACAAGTCCTTTAGTACTTTTGAGCTAAAGTAGATCCCTGATAGTGGAATTATCTTTTCAGGTGTGCAGATCTATCGAAAGTTCTATACTGAAGAAAAGGAAACTGCCAGTGGTGTCTTTGCAATTTATGTTTCGAGGCTAGCTTCCCAACCATACATTTCATTGGGCAACCTTCTTTCTGTATGTGTTTCTTTATGATAATGCTACAATGTTTTCTGATAATTTAATCTGCTTCTGCTTCCACCTTTTATGGATGTTGAAATTCTGGTTTCAGTTCGTAAATTATGTGTAATACGGGGCACACAAGTTTCTCCTATGCATGTGGATGAATTAGTGGCTTATGAAATTATGTTCACTCCAAGAAAGTAGATGCATTTCAGAAATGCTTTACCGCTATATGGCTGTACAGCTTGTTGAAAATGTTAAAACATACGGATCTTTGGTTTATATTTGTGCCTCAGATGTGGCTTCCTTCAGAAGTTGTTCATATTTTCACTTCGGCTATATTTTTCCCTACTCTAGAGAAAAGGCAGGTTGTATTCTAACTGCATGACTTTTTAGGTGCATCTATATGCCTTTTGTTCATTGGCCTTTTTAAGTTCTATCACATGGCTTTATAGTTTCCTCGAAAGGAAGTTACTCCGAGTTATACCAATCCGTTTCAAGTTGATTAAGCTTCAGAATCTTTTTAATCTGAGATGCGTCTGACATGCAATTCTTTTATTTTTAAAAATGTTAAGTGGCTTCGGTGTGTCGCATGTCATATTCAAGTGTTAGTAATGTCTGGTACATGTCATACAAACGATACTCATTTTGAAGTTTCTGTTTCCTGGCATGTCTTGTGCATGAACAGGTATTTTTTCTGATATTTAAGGTTCTTCTGCATCATATAGACCTGCAGTGAAGTTCATGAAATCACTTAAAGAATCGTTTGTCTCTTACACGTTTCAATATTTTTTAGGGACTGGGTTACGACGGTGTAGGTGGCCTGCTGGGTATGATGCATACTGCCGGAACAGACTCTAATGCATTACCTCCTCCAAGATCAGCTATAATAGCATCATCAAAGAAACCTCATCATCCAAATGTAAGCTTTTTTTTTCAGGTGTTACATCTTTTGGATCACATGTGAAACCTTATAATTGAAATGTAATTTTTCCTCTAATTTGTTTTTCAAGTAGTGTCTTGTTGGGTTCATTTTTTTCTCTAATTTGTATTTTCCTTGTCTGGCTTATGAACATCGATATCCAGAACCTTTCAGTTGTTTCTTAATAGGTTTGTCTTCTTTTGATTACTCACCCAGGTTTCAAATTGAGGGAGCCCCTCTACCTCTTGAAGCAGACATAGAGGAATCTCATTTGGATTTAATTTTATGTTCAAACTAAAGATGAAGGTCTTTAACCTTTTACGCTTAAGCACCAATAAGAGGTCAAATTATCAGTTTATCAGTGAACTAACATTTGATTCTGGGGATAACCAATGTATCAAAGCTAGTTACATACTTGCTAGTTTGCTATACTCCCCAACCAGCCTAAATTTTCTAGGAAAATTTACCAAATAGTCTGCAACCATGTTTTGTTCATATGAACATGAGTAATTGAAGGCCTAGGCTAATACTTTTGAAGTACCTGAGTATTATTCAATGCATCAAAACTGTCACAGTGGCAACTATTATAAGTTTCCTACGCACAGAAAACCTTTTTGTACACACAGTTAAAGTGTTGTGTAAATATAAAAAGCTATGTTTTGAAAACCTATGTCTTCTTAATGGTGCATAGTTAGCTGATATACATCTTTTCCTTAAGTAACCTATGTGTTTTTTATTGTATATAAAACCTAAGTACATAACAATAAGGTTCCAATCATGGTAAACTTACTCTTCTTTCTCTCTTTTCTTTTTTTTCTTTTTTCTTTTTTGCCCCAGCTAGTAAAACCTTTTCCCTGATTAGATTTGTAGACATTTCTACATAAGTTTACATCATGAGAAGCTGACATGTACGTCTTCTGGTGGAAAAATAAAGGCTCACCACGACTGATACATTGGTCTTAACTCGTCAAATTACAAAAGTGCACAATGCCATGTATTCAAATTTGCTGTTGCAACGAAAGGGAACTCTCAGTTGTCAATGTATCTTTTAACGTATGTGAGGAAGGGAAGTTTTCTGAATATGTCCACAAGTGGAAGGAAATGCATTCTCTATGACATTTTGTAAAAGTTCCTGGTTATAGAAAACGGAGAGCATAAATCAAAGTATCAAACAACTATTTCAGCATCAAAATTCTGTTTCTAAAGAAATGGTGGAGAAGAAAAAAGAAAGCAGATACCCAGGAAAGATCTTGTTCTTAGAAGGTGTCAAGCTTTAGCTGAATTTTCACTGGTGTCACATCAACGTTTGATTTAATAGTACTAGTCAGGTAAAGGTTTTAGCCATCCCACCAAAAACATCTAGATCTTCCTTTAAGCTCCACCTTCAGGATTATCTCTTCTCTAAATGATTCTACTGCAAGAGATATATTTAGACCTGTCAACCCAATTTACTTTGAACTGTCAATATCCCATGACTTACGAATCTTGCAGTAGCATGGAAAGGCTTGAATTGATATCCTACAAAAGTGTAATCGACATTGAAGATTGTGTCTGCACTCTGCAGAAACAAATATTGATTGCTAATATATTGCTTACTGTTTTTCTTTCTATCTTGAGCATTGAGAGTATAAGCCTTGTCTTTTATTATCATACTAATTTTAGGAAACATGAATGAGATGTACCCAGCGAGCCAGTTAACATACAAGTTTTGGTTGGTGCATGCTCAACTGAACTCGTGAGCTGCACAATGGATCTCTAACGAACACAAATTAAAATGTCTGTTGTCCTTTGATACTCAAAAAGACTGACTAGTTCTCCAAGGTGAAATGGACACTATTGATCATCCTAGTTGCTGGGCATTTATATTCATTAGCTACTGTGAATGCATTCAGTTAATAAGGTGGATATGGATTCTGCAGAGATATGTTGATATCTTATGGTGAATAGACTGCTCGTTTCTTGACAGTTGATAGTGTTTTGCCTTGCACGGATGTGAGCGCATACTAGAAAATATATTCCATTGCTTGTGACTTCTTTGTATAATTCATAATGCTCTAGATTCAGGCATAATTTTCCTCATGATTTGTACTATTTTCTTGCTTTACTGGAGGTTAAAGGTTGCATCCTAACTAATGGTGCAAGGGCGTTGGCCAAACATGTCAACAAGAGTAGTGAAGGATGGTGGGGTTATTTCTCTGGAAGTGGTATGAATCTTTTACAAGATCTATTTTACTTCCGTCGAATCTTCTAGATGTTGAAATGTTTAACTATTTATTATGTATTATTTGCTTTTTCATTAGATTCTAATAAGAACAGGATTGCCTCCGAAGTCATAAATCATCTAGTAGATGACTGTTGCTGGATGAACATTCACTTTATTAAACCTCATGAATGTGTTTTCGAGGTACGTGTTCATGAAGGCTACGGTGCCCGCTGGTCTGCAGATGGTACAGAGGTAATGAACTTGAAAATCATCAGTGTCATGAATTTATATATTTATTAATTTCGCTATCAGTTCCAATGTAGACGTCTCACATGAAGGACAGAAAATAATAAATAAATAAATAAATAAAAAGTTAGTAAAATAAATAAAGGATAAATTTGACAAACTACCATGAATTTTGGGGTGTTTTTTCATGAAATTATCATAATTTTTTTTATTGGAGAAAATTGGCATGAACTTTTAACTGATGTTCTGCACAACTTTGCCCTAACGGTAATTGGAGGGGATCTGAATCCTTATGATATTACCTTTACCTTTAGAAACTTGCCCTTTGTTGATTGATAGATATAAACAATGGGAGTTTATAGAGTTTTAGACATTAGCCTTTGTTGGTTGATATATATAAACAAGCGTAGTTTAGAATCTTAGACATTTTATCAATAAGATAAATGTCGTTATTAACAATTTTCAATAGTGCATGACATTTTTCTGCTTTTTTTACAATCTTTTTGATAATCTTAATTCTTTGGCATGGTTTTTTGGAGCATGAAGCTTTGAGTGGTGCATAATTCTTCTTTGAATTTACATGTAGAAAAATACAGTTGATTCCTCTCGTGTTTCAGTTCATCGGATTTTTAGAGCCATACATGGAGGGAGGATATTCTAAAGGGTGGAGACATTAAGGACCATTCTAGCTGTAAACGTTTCTAGGTATTCTGTGCAGTTCGCAACAGGTGGCCAAAGATATATGATCTTCATGAAGGTTAAAACATTCTGTTGAAATGGATTGGCTTCTCTCGTGTATATGGGCGTTTCTAGAAAGTAATAGCTCTTGAGGTACAAGGTTGTTACACTACTAATATCATATTTTCCCTTTAGAAATTGAAGTCTATGATGTTGGTGACTGGAAATATTCAATTATGTAGTGAAATTCTGCAGACTTTCTGGTGTTGCATTTGCTCAGTCTTTGTGAATCTTTGATTTGGACCTGCAGTGAACTCTACATAGAGAGCCTTGCGAGATTGTCGCAAAAAGATCTTGCATCTTCTTATTTTAGTTTGCTTTTTATAGCAAGTCCCGAAAAATTCCAGCAGCTGTGTTTTTTTTTTCCCCATGGAACTGCGATATTGGATTGGAGAGGATGAGATTGTACTGAATTACGGTTATCCTTGTTATTCTATTATCGTTGCTAATGGATATGAATTCAAACTGAGACCTCCTCTTTCTGTTATAAGCAGCTATGTTATTGCTTAATTGTCTAAGTGATCAATGTTGAAAATTTGACGTCGTTGATTACTAAGAATTAAAACTTACCGAAACTTATTTCCAATGTTTCTATTAAAATAACTATTTTATGTTTAATTTGAGTGATTATGTATATTCACAATAACCATAAGCATGCTACTTGCTTTTCTGGCGAAGGAGAAGAAAAAGTAATAATAATGGTAATATCCTTTGAGCCATGACTAGGAGGCAAATGGAGGCGCATCAATTAAGGCCCAACATACTCACTACATAAGAACTCCCGCGCTTCTAAAAAGCGTTCTTTATTTTCTTTGTGAGGGGGGGGGGTGGACGGGGGGGGGTGGGGGATGCTTTAAGGCAATATCTATAACTAAAAGAGAAAGGAACATCTTGAATGATACTTGTAGCAAAATAGTCACTGGGTGTTTTGCTCTTAACTTATTCTATAATTTAAAAAATTAGTTTTGATCTGAAAAAACCACCTATAATTAATAATTCAATCTCGTTCCTTGCTTATACCTTGGAGCCATGACAACCCTAAACTTTAGACAGTTCTGAACCAACCTTTGTAGTTTTCAATCTACTATAAACTGATTTGCTAAAGTAAACTGACAGTATGTGTAATAAATGCACAGAATTTATGTACTAAATGCACAGTATGTGCATTCATTCCAATAAAGTCTTTCAATTTCAAATTGTCATCACATGTGTAATGAATGCACATGATTTATGTATAACCATTCCAATAAAATCTTTTAATTTGTCATCACATGTATAATGAATGCACATGATTTATGTATAATCATTTCAATAAAGTCTTTCAATTTGTCATCACATGTGTAATGAATGCACATGATTTATGTATAACCATTCCAATAAAATCTTTTAATTTGTCATCACATGTATAATGAATGCACATGATTTATGTATAACCATTCCAATAAAGTCTTTCAATTTGTCATCACATGTGTAATGAACGCACAATATTTATGTATAACAATTCCAATAAAGTCTTCCAAATCGTCGTCAGCTAAGAATGGGACTCGTATGTACAACCTAGAAATTAAGCCTTCCAAGTCTTCGTCGTGGTCCTAGTCGTCCGTGAGAGTCTTCTCATCTCTGTCTCTTCCAAACGCGTTTCCAACCCCTCCAATAATTCAAACTAGCGACGTGAATCACATCTTGGGTTTCTCCTATATGTATCCATTGTTCATTCACCCTTGGATATCAAACAGTTAACTGACTAGTTAGCATGGCCATGGCACTATTTGACCGGGCTCCCCGTTCTTTACTGCTAACAGTAATAATGTTGCTCCTCCCCTTTCTACGTGCTGCTGCTGCTGCTGCTGGGTGCCTCCCATCCGAGAGGTCCTCCCTCCTCGGCTTAAAACACGGTGTCTCCTTCGACGCCCAACGAAGAAGAAGCCCTTTGGTTTCATGGAAACCTGGATCCAACTGCTGCGACTGGGAGGGAGTGAGCTGCGACTCCGAATCTGGCCACGTCGCCGGCCTTAACCTCACTAACGCTGCCATCAAGGGTAAACTCAGCGGTAGCCTCTTCAACCTCACCCACCTCGTATCTTTAGACCTTCACTCAAACCTCCTCACGGATACGATCCCCGCTTCTATTGGAAACTTGACCCGACTAAAGTTCTTAGATTTAAGCAACAACTCACTTTCTGGATCGGTACCAGACTCGTTGTTTAACCTCCCTGCTTTGGAGTCACTGGTCCTCTCTGAAAACCAATTGGCCGGCGAGTTTAAAGAGTTTTCAAACCTGTCGACGTCTTTAAGCTATGTCGATTTGAGCAACAACCAGCTGCGAGGACACATTCCGAGGTCCGTATGCGAAGCACGGGGCCTCGAGGTCCTCGACTTATCCGGAAATAGTTTGAGTGGTCCGATCCCGTCGTGTCTCTTACGTAGCCCTGCTCTTTATGTGTTGAATCTGAGAGGGAACCAGCTTCAAGGAGCTGTTGATCCCCAACACTTCAACAGAGGATGCATGTTGGAGGCGCTGATCCTCAGTGACAACCACTTGGAAGGCCCAGTCTCCCAAAACCTGAAGAATTGTAGGTCCCTAGAGGTTCTTGACGTCGGCAACAATCGTATTGTGGGCACTTTTCCATCTTGGCTTGGAGAGATGGTTAATATTTCCGTCGTTATTCTTCGGAGAAATTCTTTTCGTGGGCCGGTCGAAATTGGGGAAAGCCTTACAAGTTTTTCAAAGCTGCAAATATTTGATTTGTCTTCCAACCACTTCAATGGAGATTTACCTTCAGAATGTTTCGACAGTTTTATATCCATGGTGAATTCCTCCGCTGTGGATCCACTGGATAGTATAACTTCTGATGGTGGTTATAATTACGAACTCACGGTCAAAATTAATGGGTATGCTATTAACTTTGCGAGGATGTTAGCGATATCATATACATTTGTGGATTTCTCAAGCAACAACTTTCAGGGTGACATTCATGAGGTGATTGGTAAACTCCACGGCCTCTACAGTTTGAATTTATCACGTAATTCTCTCATAGGAAACATTCCTTCGATAATTGGAAACATGGGGCGGCTTGAAAGGTTGGACCTCTCCGGAAATCATCTGTGGGGAGAGATCCCTCAGGAATTGACTTCTCTCACGTTCTTAGCGTTTTTAAACCTCTCAAGCAATAAGTTGATGGGAAGAATTCCTCAAAACAATCAGTTTAATACGTTCACAAATCGTTCTTACTTGGATAATGAAGGACTATGTGGGAGCCCATTATCGAAGCAGTGTGGCAATTTAAGTCCGAACACATCAAGTATATTGCCATCTGAGACCTCTGATGATTCATCATCTTCAACCGATATCATTGTAATTGCACTGTTTTTTGGTGTGGGATTTGGCGTGGGTGTGGCAACGATCCTTGTGCTTCAGAATGTAAAACAGAGGTTTTGGAAAAAGGCAAAATGCTGTCAGTATCTAGCTAGTTATGAAACATTTGTGGACGTATAAGTTTTCCTTATTTTGGGTATATATACATGCCCAAACCTCAGATTGTATCCAATGAGTAAAATAAAATGGTTTGTCTTTCCACTTAAAATTAATGGCTGATGGGATTTGATCCAGGGCTGCTCTGATACCGTCTTAGATTTAGTCCTTCTAACCATTACACCAAAACTCCAAAGTTATGATGAGGGACAATGATTATAGTTTTATATTAATTCGAACAGTTTGTATCAAGTATACTTATATGTGTATATTATAGAATTATAATTATATAAGTATTTTATATAAGTGCATAAGTATAATTATATATAAGTATATTGCATCTAGTATATATAAAAGTATATCATATAAGTAAAATGTATAACTATATTTAAATAAGTATAATGTAAGTATGTAATGAATACATATATAATATATATTTATGTGATTCTCTCTCTCTTTCTCAAGTTATAATTTATAAGTATATACAATATATTTACATATAATATATGTAGGGTAATATGTGCATAAGGAGGCTCCTTAGGGTGCATCTAAGGATGCACCTCTCAATGTATGAATTGGGCTACTTTAATGGACGATCCGTTTCATTCATCATGATCTAAATGTCTTAAAACATCTAAAAAATAAAAATCATGATATGTGAATATTTCTAACTGGACGGTCAGATCTGACGCTTTTGATATTTTTATTGAGTTGGTTCTCAACTTCAGCCTTGTAAGCTTTAAGCACGTCCTGTTACTAGTACTTTTCATTTATGAGATAAAAATAGCCATAATGCGAAAAATCGTCTATGAACGTGATAAAATATTATCAATCATTCCAAAAAACTATAGGGAATGACCCACAAATATTTGTATGTATCAGTTCTAAGACGATTGTAGTCTTGTTAGCACCAAATTTTCTTATGTTTATTTGTTTTCCTTTTATGCAATTAGTACAAATTTTAAACTTTGTAAACTCAAGGGGATCTAGAATTCTGTTTGACATAAGTTTCTCAATTCTCCTTTTGAAAATGTGACCTAATCTCTAAATTCTCCTTTGTCCTTGGAAGTACTAGCCAAATGAGCGCTTTCTGTCTTCTCTTACTTTAATCTTTTCTCTTCTTGCGCACATTGTGAGATGAGCTCATTAGGAGACTAAGTCTCCTTTTGGCAATTGTAGCTCATTTTGAATTGATTGAATTGTGTGGGAAAAGATATAAGAACCAAATGCACAAGCAAGTCCTCAGAGAGTTTAAGCTTAAGTGCTTTCAGCTTTAAAATAGTGTGAAACAT